CTCTTCCGGGAAATCCTGTCAGATTTAAAGAGCGTGAGAGAAATAGTGGCCTTATTTGGTGGTCAAAAGCGCTTGGCGCGTTGAGTCACGGCTTTTCGGTGGGACTCTTCAGTAAGGCGAAACCCCATCGTGTCGTCGGACATTACCGCTTGTTATCGTGCTCGTTTATTTTATAAACCCAGAATCACTTTGTTCACGATTTGGAACTATCCAAGATCTGGAGTCTCAACCAGTAGGATACTGGTCTACTCTGCTTTCCGATATAATTGATTTGGTTCGTGTATGGGATTTGATCTGACTGATCCCTTATAAGCTGACCCTGACAAATGCCTTTCTTCCACATTCACCTGTTCCCCTTATAAACACATCCTTGCACACAAAAACTCAGTCTCACAAGCGTTCTGTTGTTCCTCGGTAAAGTAGATGTATACAGATCCATCTAATGTAAGCAGAGTATGATGCTGAACCGATTACCGTTGTCATTTTATGTTCATCAGTTCATGCTTTTTATTGAAAAGTATTCTGTTCTATGTTGCTTCCTTTTGATGCTGAGTATTCACCTATCTAGGTGAATATCTAGGTGAATAAAGGCATCATTTCTCTTGAATTACCTTCACAGATTCTTACATTGACTTGTGAATACAGTTTAGTTTCGTTATCGGAAACACTCTTTTTCTCCATGTCTATTTGAGAAGTTCCTGAGCAGAATCCATCCATTTCGATTTAGCTATTCGCGCACATTCATAGTAATAAATTCTACATGATTACTATGCAGATAATACAATTTCATTTTACCTTGCAGTTACTTGTTTGGGGCAGTGTGAGATAAGTTACTAGGGATGCTAGTTGACCGTTATGCAGTTTTCGTCTTCACCCAGTCAACCAGACTTGTTTCTCCTTAGAGCTCGTCAGTGGTGCAGTTCCACAAATTCAAACGAGGAGTTTGAACATGAGAGAATGGATATGATAGCACTGAGAAAATCAGATCACACGGTGTGCATAGGCGGTGGCAGTGGTCAACTGATTTCGGTCATAAAATAGCGAACTGGATGTTCTGAGTTCGAATTGTGCCACCGCTGCCCCCTTGCTGAAAGTAAAATTAACTGTTTGTTTATTTATATATTCAAGTAGTTAAGCTTGTCCAGAACTACTCTTCTCTGACTGTGAATCAGTAGCAGGTACAACCTAATTCATTCATTCCGTATATACATGTTAGGTAATTAAAGGATAAGCTCACTGGCTCAACGTTGACAGGCGGATTACAGATCACTTTTACGTAGTCACAGTGACTCATGTATCCACGGCTAACTTTTATGCAAACGAATAATACCTTTTTTCCATGTTTGAAGGTGACCCATCATTTCGGGGACTAACTCTACCTTTCTTTAAATGCCCTCCAAGTAGATTATTCATAAATGTTCGTGCCAAAAGATTTCATAAAAATTACAAGCATCTTATTGCGTAACACGCCTATGAACTGTGGGATCCATACGCACATAGCTGAATTTTATCAGCTGATTTTCCTTCTTCCACGCAAGTGTGATTCACACTCGTGAATGAAGTGGTAGTCAATTTTGAACTGGGCACTGTTATGCCCACGTTGAAGTTAAATCGATACAATTGTTTTAGGTTACCAGTAGACATTACTGTTTAGGTCATATATGTGATTTCAACAAATAGAGCTATATTAGCACACTGTCTATTGAACGAATAAATTGTTCAATTCTTTCCTGATCAGTTGAATAAAAATACACTTGGGGAAAAGTACAAGCAGGTCAGATCGTAGAACTTGAGGCTTTTGCCAGTGATATGAGATACAATCATCAGAGTTCAGTTATTGGAAGATAACCTAAAGGACCCAAAATTTCACCACAAAATGAGGTATGCTTTTATCCTTCGGAATATTCATGCGGTATTCGTTTGCCTTGTTAGTGTTGGGAGCAGCATAACCCCCGAATATGTGAGATATTACATTTCGGGCGGTGGTGGCCCGTTGGTAGTCACCAAATTATCACTCCAGAGGACGTGTGTACGAATCTCACCACCATCATCTGACTTTACCCATTGTGTTGGATGGCAGCCTTTTGATTGGCCGGTTCCCCCTTGTTGAAAATTGTATCTGTGTATATTCAATAGAACGAAGTAAAATAAAAAGATAAAAAGAAGATATATAAATTGGTACATCGCTATGCACGTACTACTATCAGTTGTAAGGAAACTGATGACGAACGGAAAATTGAACCCATGTAAGCCGCTTCAGCGTTTGTCGGTAAGCCTAAAGCTCGGTTGGTATTTGCTAACTAGGGACATCTGTGACGCCGTCGCGACATCCAGTTGTCTGTGAAGGGTCGAGTGTATGCCACGGCAGTTCATCCAGTTCTGCTATATGGCGAAAAAAATTGGCCATTACGGAGGCAGGTTAAAGATAGACTGTGGGTGTTTGACCACCACTGTCTACGCAGCATGGCACGAATCTGGTGGGGCAGGCGGACGAGCAATGCCGAGATGAGGCGTAGAGTTTTAGGTAACCGAGGTTGCCCACTGGAGCAAGTGGTCGACCTGCATAGATTAGGTTGTTTGGGGCGTGTGTTAGGCATGTCACGAGATAGGTTGCCACGGCGAGCGATGTCTGTCGAGGCAGGTAGTAGGTGGAATAAAACCAAGGGTATTCAAGCTAAGACATGCCATGAGGGTATGAAAACATTTACCAGGAGTCTGGGTTATATAGGTCCTGCTAGGCTCCCTGGCTGGGGACCTCGGGATGATTGTAACCGATGGTTAGAGACACTGAGTGATATGATGAGTGGTGTGAAAAATGAAATTCGTTCATCTTCTCAATTTCTTTGCAACCTTAGAGCACTGAAATTCCTCATTTTCTGTTGGGCTCTACTTTCAGCTTTCCTTTCTTCTCCTATTCTTCATCCAAATAGGCAGCCAGAAGACAGCANTGCATGGTTAACGGTTGTGCAAACTGAACTGAACTGAACTGAATTAAATATTTTATATAACCATTAAACCAGGCCGGAATTCCAGCACGGGGAAAACCTCGAAAGAAATGCATAATAAAATGCAGGAACCAAAGGAATGTTGAATACAGAAAGCCCGGGTCGGGATTAAACAGGGAGAATACTCTGGAAGAAGTTCGTAATTTGTATTGGTGTTAGCCAGATGTATACGCATTGTAAATATATGTTTGAACTGGCTTTCTGTGTTATCTTTGGTTTTCATTGGGTTGAAGCGTTCCTTGTGAGGGGCAAGGTGTTTCCAACTTTGATAGAAAATCCCTTATGTCTCAGTTTACTGGGATTTCAAATACAGTTAAACCGGTTGAGTGAGTACAAATAAAAAAACAGGATGTGTCCAAGTATCAGCTGCTCTCTGACAAAATAAAGCAAATATTAGCTTCAAATATTCCAGTAGAAAGCTGCAAATCACGCGATTTAAGGTGGCCATCTCACAGAGTCCCATTCCGAACCAATCGGAGTTTTATTTGAATCCTGATTTGAGTGCAAACGGACTTTAATGGCACTCGAATAGGACTCCAATGGGACGGCTATGCCGCTTGTGTAAGTACTTGGTACCGCGTTATGATTAATGGTAAACAATCTGGTACCTGTATATGTTATGTTTCTTGAGCACTTAAAGGTATCAGTCAGACTGATTTTATGCTTTTAAAACAGCTGAAACTATTACGTTCAGACCCCTTTCGGTTGTTCGTAATAACTCGGCCGGATTGATTGCGACAATTCATCAAGTAGGATATGAGATGCTAAATGTTGATAGTGATTTGTTATATTTACTGGCATGTACTGGTGGCTAATTTCAGTGTTAGTGATCGGTAGACCATATCTGATAATTCGACCACTAGCCATTACACCATTACACCAGCGCTGCCTCGGTGTCCCAATTCTTATTTTATCCGACAGGTTTGGGTTAGTGATATCCATTTCCTAAACACCCCGATCAGTAGAGAAACGATTAGTAAAGAATAGAAAAACCAAATCCAAAAGGGCCAACAAACACTAAGTGGGTTATCCCATCTGTGACTGAAATCTAAATACCGATTGCATCGGTTGAACTGACGGTATTATTATAATACGGAAAATTATCGACTAAAGTATTCGGAAAATACTTGCATTTATTTAATGGTGTGTTAAGCTAGCCCCACGAAAGTCAAATATACCAATTGCCACCTGTTACGTCGAAATGCATTAGGTAGTGCTTAATAAGTGCTGAGCACCATTATTTTTTCTAATGAATAAATAATGTAAACATGTTGCAGATCGGGGTGTATCGAATCAGATAGTCTTACTTAAGATGATTACAACTCAATAGTATCAATAACAAAAATTGTGTGCCGATTACGTGTGTAAGAGTCTAAAGTACATCTGAATTGTATAAATGTTTTATAGCAGGGAAATCTAAAGACTCACGATGTTCTGGCAGTGGTTGAATGCAAGACTTGGGATGTTGTGTTGCATTGAAAATGTTCTTCCAAGGACGAGGTTTCCTGGGGTACTTAAACCTTAAGTCCCCAATTGGAGGTTGTGCATAAGGTACACCCAAAAAGTGGTATACATTTTTCCCTAGTATATATTTTTGTTTGCCACTGATAGGTCCGTAATTTGTTCGAACAATTATATGATCCCCAAAGATTTCGCGGGAAAAAGTCAAGAAGCAAACACATGTGACCGCATAAATATTCATTGATAGAATTCGTGTTGGACTCTGGACTTTGAGTACATGCCCATGCTCCAGGCAAGGGAGTGGTAATGTGAGATCCATCTGATAAATATTAAGATGGAATTCTGCAACGCTGTGATTGGCCGAATCTTTAGACTGAAATGGAATTGGTTAGGTGCATGTTATGGAACATGAATAAGAATGGTTTCTTTTGTAGATATGAATAACTTCTAATTTTACTGAAAACATTCATGAATGTGTTTAAATGCATCAGATACGATATTTGAAGGACGCGCAGAATTTGAAAAAAATTAGGCATGGTGAGTTGTCCTTGTTTCCACTAGCGAAAATTCTCTCAGAGGCCTATTATTCTACATGGTCATCAAAGACCAATAACCAGGCTTTGTTACAATCGTGATGGGGACTTAATATTCACCGCAGCTAAAAATACTGTGGTCAATGTGTGGTTTAGCGCCAACGGTGAGCGTTTGGGTAGTTTCAGTGGACATGATGGTGTGATTTGGTGGCTGGATCCTGATTGGCGAACAGAAAATTTGTTGACAGCCTCTGGAGACTATCACGGAAAGCTGTGGGACATAAGCACTGGTCAGTTTTTATTCTCCTATGCCTATTTTCTATAAAGGCAAATGTTTGAGCGATTATGAAGCTCAAGCACCCGTGAGAACTTGCGGAATTTCCTTCTGTGGAAATCTTTGTTTTTTGACGACGGATGAGGCTAGAGTTGATGGGAAAAGCAAGAAATGTGAGATCATCGTGTTGGATAAACGTGACCCGTCTCACGTAAGTGGCCTCTTTGGTTAATCTCGTACCAGTGCTCACTTGCCTTTGTTTAACTGGTTCATCGTTGCTCAGAATTGTTTGAATAACTCTAATGCTTGCGTAACCTCATCGCAAAGTCGTCTAGCAATATGGTCATTTTTTCAAGTGTTATTTACCCCAGATATGTTGAAATTTCCTGAATCGCAGCCAGTGAACTATTATTATATCCCGATTGAGCATGAATGCCTTACGAGTTGAAGTGTTCGCCTTTTCGCTGCCAGACATACTTAGTGGAGTTTCGCTTCGTTTTATCGCACTCGGATTTTTCACTACAGTGATCTGAACTATTGGGAAAATGTGCTCTGTTTAAAAAAGTACAGTAGGGCTACCTAGTGCCTTCTTTTTGTCAAATGGAGTTGAAACACAGACGTTGACATATGTCTCAGTCCTCCGGTAACCCGCGGTACAGAAATATGTCCTTTTCTGCTTCAGTCAAGATCCACGCTAGTACGAATTCTCCAGTACGGGTAAAGCCGGATCACTTAATGCAAACGAAAGTCACGACCAACGCAAGTCACATGGACAGCAAACTGTCCTCTTCCCCGGTAGGAGCCACAAGATGCCAGCTTCGAGTACTAGCCATATGTGATCAGTTTGACAAGAAAAGATCTAAGCCGAAGCCTGTGGCGATCACCGCTAGGCTGCACCACACCGTGAAACACTGTTGTTGGGAAAATCATACTATACTGCGCCATCAGCTGACTGACATACATAAGATCGTGGTCATCGCCCGGGCATAAAGAAAGGTTGCACAGCCCATTCCTCAGTGAGTGTCCGCTCAACTATAGGCTTTTGCTCCCTAAACATACTGTATAATAGTCTGCAACAACGACAACAAATGGAAGGAACTCGAGGTTGAGACTGCTGGAGTAGACTACTGTCCTGATGGAAAAATGGTTGACTGGGCAAAGGATAAGCAGATTTCTCCGGTAGTGTTTACCACAGCTGACAGGCTAGGTGCGGGAGTCATGCTGTTACTAGCCTCGCACCTTCCACAATTGCAAGGGAAAGTCTTTTCCCCAAACTGCATTCAAGTGGCCTCCGTACACTACTACTGGCGCATATAGAGTATGCCTGCGCTGGCACTCAAACTATCCAGAAAAGCTTTCATCTTGCTTGGGTCTTCATTTAGCAGCACACATCATTGTACAGCGTAGTATAGTGAAGTGAACTTCACTGATCACTGCCAAAATCGTAATGCATACAAAGTAAGTGAATGTGTAAGGAGGATAGAGATCACCCCGAATTTTAGATACGAGTAAAAAAGCGATTATATAATCAGCACAGAGAGCATAGTACAACTGTCTAGGGTTGTGGCTAGTCACCCTTCAAAGGCCTTGCGTGACAGGTCTCCAGAAGCTCCCACACGGGTGCTTCGT